TCGTGAATTTTAAGTCAATTAACACAATGATGTGTCATTTGTGTTGAACGCCTATTATGTGCCCTGTGTGAACCACATGGAAATGCAAGACTATTACCACATCATTCGTAAACCATGCGTACAAATGGAATTAAAGATGCCCTTAAATATTTGATTGACAACCAAAACAAAAGATTAATTCCATAGTTAATAAATAATGTTCATTGTTTAATTACATAATTAAGGAAACCTGTAATTTCTCTGTACTGGTGTGTACATTTGGTAATATAATATAAATGTGTTGGTACGGCCTATTTTTGTATTATACATTGGTAAACAAATAGTTAAAATGTTTTGTTTGGGAAGAATTACACCATATTTGTAAAGTTGTAGTTTGTGACCCGTTTTAATTTTTTTGATTCATTTATAATAATGATATAGCGTCTTATCAGATCGTCAAGATGTCCCAAAGTGCATCACAGGATATACTGTAAGTGAATTGGCTGTGCATTTTGGGGTGACTGTATTTCTGAGTTTGGAACAATGTCTCTCCTATCTCAGTGCAATGAATGGTTTAATATTGCTTTACATGCTATTTGACAAAATTTATTCACTGTAATGCATTTCATTGTCAACATTTTGCATTGATCTTCATGCTGAAATGTGGATATGTGGGCTACTTGACTTGCTGCAGATGAGGCAATGGCAGAGCTCTATCATTTGGCATAGAACAGCGCTTAATAACATCTGACCAGCATTGATATTTGTACAGATGAAAAGCGCCAACTGTCTTGCGACAGGTTCTTTAACATTTAAAAGTCCCTAAATATTTTTGGGTGGTTCAATGACTCATTGTCTCCAAACCTTTTAGATCTTGGAAGCAGTGCAATAGATATAGAAAGCAGTCTTAGTTTCAATTTAATATGGTTAATCAAAGGTGGACTTTTCATTGGAATTGTATGACAGCTGGCGCAAAGCCAAAGCACTGTAAGAACACCTGGTAAAATCAGTCTTCCTTTTATTGCTGTAAGCTTTCTTCTGCATTTTCAGTGTGCTCACACTGAAAACCTGGGTGTGGCACAAGCACCAAATGTTCAGAACAAAGATTCTTGCTCTAATTAATTGACAGTGTTTTCTTAAATAAATTAACTTTGAATTTAAGCCACTCTTAAGTTAAAACTATGCTCCCCCTGCTCATTATTTTTTTTCTTTGAACCCAGGTTATACATTTGTTCCTGTTCCCAGTCCTTTGTAAATTCTCCTTGCTTACTGACTTGTGACATGCAGAAGCGCAGCCAAGGATGGCTCCGATTCTTTCTTCCTGGAGAATGTATCTGGCTCCTGATTGCGCCTCCTCCTCACATGGCCTATGCTAAGTCAGTAACTTGTGTGGAGAGAATTATTGGCATGGACCAACATCTGAGAGCTCTGTGCTGGTTAATGCATGTCTTGCAGCTGAATGCAACCAGTTTGTGCTCGCAAGAAGAAGTTCTTTTTTTCTCACTCTCCTTGAAACTTTCCCATCCAAGGACCCATTTCTCCCCAGTTTGCTCCTGGGTCCATCATTGGTCCTGAAGCTCAGTGGTTAGAGCTCTTGCCTCGCAAGCGAGAGACTTGGGTTTGATTCCTGGCAGGGCGAAATGTTGGCAAGTTTCCTTACTCCACACACCTCTGTTTACCTAGCAGTAAGTAGGAACCTGGTTGTTAGTTGATTGGCAGATTGCCTTTCCCAGGGTAATAATTCCTCCAAAAGATAAATTGGTCACTTCAATCCACGATTGTTTGTGGGACACTGCTGGGCACAATTGGCTGCTGTGTTTCGCCCACAAAATATGCAGTCAATTCACTTTACAGTATATTCTGTGAAGCACTTTGAGACGTCTCGAATACCTGATAAGGCGATTTATCAAATGCAAGGTTTAGTTTTATTACCTTAGTTATAAAATAATAATCTTTGATTTTGAAATAGTGCCTTTCATGTCAGGCAGATGTCTCAAAGTGCTTCAACAGGATTAATAATAATAATAATCCTTGCATTTGATTATAGTGCCTTATCACATCATTAAGACAACCCAGAGTCATATCTGGCTTAGTGTGACTTTTTAAAAGAACATTTAAAAGTCATTGCTAAGAGATATTGGGTGACACAATCAACATCTCAAGAACATTTAAGGGTCAATTTTTGAGCAGAAACTTAATTGATTTACGCATTAGTGGTGTGAACAAGTGTACTTCAGAAACCTCTTTTCTGGCAGCAGGTTCCAGACCAACCATAATTTATTACTACTGCTAAAAATCAGGTACAAGCAGAACATTAATGTCACAAGGAGGATTTCAAGAGCATATGGATTCCAGGAAGGAAAGAATGTTCTGCATATCCTTCCAATGTTAGATATTTATTGTGCATTTGGTAATGTGATATTTTTTCTTCTGTTTCCTCCACTCCCTACAAAGTGCTTAGCCATGTCATGGGGTTACCACACAATGCAGCCGAGATGGAGAATCATAGGTGCAAATCCATGCTCCAACACCCAGTGGCGCTATGTAGTGATTGCCATCCAAATGACTTTTCGACATCATTAATAAAAAACAATTGAAATCCACAGAAGGTTCGGCTAATCAACATCTGAAAGAGAACATTTCAAGATCAAATGGCGCAGAGAATTGTAGGCATCCTTAATGTTGGGTGTTGGTACTATTTTTAATTATACAGATTTGTAAAACAATAATGAGGGGATATAGGATATGTGATCTGACAAATATCACCATTAATAATTTGTACAAAAGGACAGAATATCTGATCGTTCCCTGACCTAAAATGTTTTAAAATAAAAAAGTTTAAAAAGCCATTCTAACAGCTAGGAATCAAAAATGAAATCCATATTTTATTATTCATTGTTGATAATAATATTAATGATAATTCGTGCGTTGATATTACTTCTTATCAAAATGTCCCAAAGTTCAGAGTTTTCTGTAAAGTGTAGTGACTGTACTTGTAGGCAAATGCAGCAGCCAATTTGCAAACAAAATATCCCCAAAAGTGCCATGGAGTTCTTTTTATTTGGGGGCTTGTTGACCAGGACACCAGGAGTGATATAGTGATACCTTCACTTCACTGCCTGGGAAGAGGTTTTTTTTGTATTTTGAAAGAAGGAGGGCAAGTGGGGGTGGAAAGGTGAAGTTTCAGTAGGTCGTAGAGATAGATAGGAGCAAGACCGTGGAAAGCTTTAAAAGTAAGGACAAGGATCATGAATTTGATCCTTAGGGGATAGATACTATGTATCTGTCTTGTTCTGTGCATCTTTCTTTCGGACGGATTCAGATAATACCAAGCCCAGATATTAAATTCATGGACAAACATTTCTGTTTACCCTTTCATATTCTTTTCCAATTGGGATGTTTTCCGAAAATGTTCTTCCACTTTCATCCTGTGGTGGTTGTGGGTGATGTAGCAACGCAGCAAAATGTTCCCATTCACTGGCGCGATCAGTAATTATTGGAGTTTTTTTTAATGTTCGAGACGTAAATGTCGGCTATGTTTTAGACTATTAGAATTGTATAAAAGCTCATAATAATGAATTGGTCACTTGAATCTATGACTGTTAGTGTGACATTGCTGTGCGCAATTGGCTATAAAATATACAGTGAATTTACTTCACAGTATATTCTACAAAGCGCTTTGAGACGTCTCGAAGATGTGATTATTATTATATGAGCAGATTATGCTTTTTTTTAAAAAAAAGGTAATTTTCTTATCCAAATAAAGTGTACGTTGAGAGAAGAGAATAACGAACAGAAACGTTGCAAACTGCAACACATCAACGAATAATAATAAAAATCGTTGCATTTGATATGGAGCCTTATCATGTCGTTGAGACGTCTCAAAGCGCTTCACGGAATATATTCTAAAGTCAATTGCCTGTATATTTTGTGAAGTAAAGTGTTTCTCCCCCTCCCTCTCTCCCCTCCTACCCTCCCTCTCCTCCCCCTTCCCTCTCTCCCACCCCCTCCCTTTCTCCCCCTCTTCCCTCCCTCTCCTCCCCCTTCCCTCTCTCCCATCCCCTCCCTCTCTCGCCCCCCCTCTCTTCCTTCCCTCTCTCCCACCCCCTCCCTCTCTCACCCCCCTCTCTCACCCTTCCCTCTCTCCCTTCCCTCTCCCCCCTCCCTCCCTCCCTCCCTCCCTCTCTCCTCTCCTCCTCCCCCCCTCTCCCCCCTCCCTCTCCCCCCTCCCCTCCTACATTACCAGTGTAACACTGTGTACAGCTACAATCTGTTACAGATTAGACTGTGTGCAGTTCTGAGTTGCCTTCAGCCCCTCAATTCCCATCGCTCTCGTTTGTCCCCCCACCCCCATCTGGTTGTGGGTTTGGCTCAGTGTGGGCAGCAGCACTGCTCCTCCCTCCCTCCCTCCCTCCTTCCATCCCTCCCTTCTTTCCTTCTGCCATCAGTCTCTCCCCCTCCCGCAGATACAGTGTAACACTGCGCACAGACAAAGAAGTCACCGTCCTTCTGCTGCCCAGGAAGCGGTGGTGCATGTGGGAGAGCCGCGCTGCAGCAGCCGGAGAGAGGGAGGAGGGAGGGAGGGAGGAGGAGAGCAGAGGGTGTCTGTGTGCGGGTGGGAGCCCGGGCCGGGCGGGGGGCTGGGGGGCTGGGCTGGGGGTGGGGGGATTGAGGGCTGGGGGGCTGAGTTGGGGGGGCTGAGGGCTGGGGGGCTGAGTTGGGGGCTGAGGGCTGGGGGGCTGAGTTGGGGGGCTGAGGGCTGGGGGGCTCAGTTGGGGGATGGGCTGAGGGGCTGGGTTGAGGGCTGGGTTGAGGGCTGGGGGGCTGAGTTGGGGGATTGAGGGCTGGGGGGCTGGGTTGGGGGATTGAGGGCTGGGGGGCTGAGTTGGGGGCTGATTGGGGGGGCTGGGGCTGGGGGGACTGGGTTGAGGGCTGGGGGGCTGGGTTGAGGGCTGGGGGGCTGGGCTGGGGGGCTGGGTTGAGGGTTGGGGGGCTGGGTTGGGGGCTGGGGGGCTGGGTTGGGGGGCTCTGGGGCTGGGCTGAGGGGCTCTGGGGCTGGAGGGCTGGAGTTGGGCGCAGTGATTTGGCAGAGTGCAGCTCCTTTAATGCGTTGGAGGGGTTTGGCTGTTGGGGTGTTGCTGTGGGTGACTCGTGGCCACGCTGTCTGTCAGTCTGTCTGCAAACTGCCTGAATCCTCCTCCTCCTCCTCCTCTGCTGCTGCTGAACAGCCACCAAACCAACCCTCCCGGCTCCAGCTCCAGCTCCGGCTGCACTGACACAAGGTACGGATGACATTCCCAACCTTTGCAAATGCATTTCTCAGATGGAAAGCCCAGGATACAGGGCTTATAATGTACAGCATTATTTGTTTTTGCACATTGCAATTTTATTTTGGTTTGGGCGCCATATTCAACTTCAGCTTCTCCCCCCACCCCCCCCCACCCTCCCCTTGTCAATGTGTCTTATTTTAGCGGTGGGGGGGGGGGGGGAGGAGGACACATGAGAGGCTGAGATCTACAGTAAGGATTGCATTATCTGCTGAGGATGCAGACCAGCCTGTGATCCCTGCTGCAGCTCAGAGATCCTCCACAGCGTCTCTCTCTCTGCTCCAGTCTGAATGCTGCAAAAAACTACTGGTGCAATTTTTATTCGCCTGTATCATAACACGTGCGTTGCTTTTTTTTTGATGGAGAAAATACGCCTTTCCCTTTTATTTCAAGAAAAATGTAAATGCCAAGAGATCGCATTGCATAAATGCTTCCTGAGGCGTTTTTATGATGTATGTATATGTGTGTGTGTGTGTGTATATATAGCTATGCACACACTCCAGAGACATGTTATTGTAGGGCAAACTGAGCTCGTTTGCATGTTGTATGTTTGCAAACTGTGCAGTCAATGAGGGGAACGATGCTGTCGTGGGAATAAACGCAAAGACTGTTTAGACGAAAAAAGAATTCATTTGCAACTCGATACATGATCGCAGAAGAAATGTCACCGTTGGGTTCAGGGGACATTTATTTGTATTTGTATTTGTATTATTTATAAACGTTCGAAGACATTTATTTGCCTGGGCGCTTTTTTTTTTAAAAAAAACCTAGTTCCCAGCTGTTTCGTGTCATGTCTTGCAAAGGATTGCTTTGCTTGGTGGTGTGTTGGGCTGAGGTTTTGCTGGTGTTATTTCACGGGAGGGAGGGAGGGAGGGAGGGAGGGAGGGAGATCCTGGCGTGATTTATCTGTCTGGTCTGGTCAGTGTGTGCAGAGTTGCAGCTTTGCTCGTCTCTCACTGGCAGTAGTTCTGCAATGCGGTGGGTGGTGGTGGTGGTGGTGGGTGTGGTGTGGGCTCAATGGCAGTTGTTGGACCTCTGCAGTGACGGCACTCTCTGGACTGCTGCACCCTTCAATGAGAAGTGCTGCCCACCACTCACTTTCTCACCGCATTAGACAGGGAGAGACTGGCTGTGCTGTGCTGCTGTGCTGCTGTGTGTGTGTGTGTTTTAATCTCTCAGTGCTATGCTCGTGGCAACATATGGTAGCCATCAGCTAAACCATCTTGGGAAACTTGAATGGCGCTAAGTGACTTAGCGTTTCGCCCACAAAACACACAGTCCGTTCACTTTACAGTATATTCCGTGAAGCGCTTTGAGACGCCTCGAAGACGCGATGAGCCGCGACATCAAATGTAAGGATTATTATTTTTATTAACAAAAAAACAGTTCACTTGTATAAAAGTATGCCGAGTTTGCAGGGCATCATCTCAGAACGGACGTTTGCACGTCTTCAAACTCAAATTATTGTTGTACTTTTTNCCCTCTAATTTAAAAGCAAGATTCTCCAAAATGTGGGTTGCTGATGCATTCAGCATTTATTACATTCTGTATTCTCTTCTGTTCAGATGTAGCTGACTGACCAGCTGCTCTGTTAACATGTAACTAACTGGCTGCATCCTGCTTTTCTCTTTCAACTGCAGCATTGCTTTGAGCAATCCCCCAGACACCCCTAAACCTTGGTGAAAGCTGAATCTTCATCACTCTGCATCAGATCCTCCATGGTTAAGAGCCATTAACGTCAATTTTTAGCCAGGAAAAATAATAATTTTAATCAGGATAAAAACACTCCAGGTATTTATTGGTGAAAATTAGTAAAAGCCGACTCATAATCCTCATCCATGGCGTCTTCACCTTATTACTGTAATATTTTTCAGAAAGTTAATTTTATATACAGGTTTCTGTTTTTCTCTGGACAGCTTCCTCCACTTTCCTCAAAATTTTAAACTAAATGACTTGAATTTTTTAAATACCATAATCATTCAATTTGCACCTCTACTTAAATAACGTGAGATTATGGAGGCAAAAGCATTACAGTGGATGCCAAGTGTATTCATTCATTTCCCAAATAATGTTCATAATTCTATATCCATTTCATTTTTTGAAACATAATGGACATGCAGAATTAATGTAACATTCTGAAAGTGTAGGTATCTCCTGTGGAATGTAAGGCCGAACTCATTGGTTTGAAGGTTATGAATTTTTCTCAAAATGCATTTCATTGCTAAAGGCCTGACCTTGATTTTTCACTTCAATTACTGATTTATCAGCAGCTGCAGTGTCAGCCCATTGAGTATCCATTCAGGGCAAGCTCTCGAAACTTTTCTGTCTTCAACAAGTAATGGAATTTATTATGCCCTCCTGGAATGGAGAAGAACCAAAGCGTTGAAATGTTGTTGTTTTCCACCAGAAGCTGTGTTTCTAACAAGATATCTTGGTGGATCCATGCCCAACCTAATGAAAAATATTTTGAACCTGAAGTGCTTTATATTGAGGCAGTTGCTGCCTATTATCCACTATATGGAGAGTCAATATTCTTTCGGTATACAAGTTGTTCATCACGCATATATTTTTACAAAAAAGGAAGTTTGACAATACTATGTATTGAATTGATGCAATTTACCAACAAACTCTCTCCACCCTCTTTAAGATACATGACTTAAACCCAACCCATCAATTTAGCTGTGAATATTTTTTTCATGTTTTACCACACTAACTTAATGTTACAAATTTTTCATTTAATCATTTTTTCTGAAATTGTGTTTCAAAATACTGCATTGGAGATGTGTATTAAATTATTTAGTACGTCTAGCCAAATGCAGCTACATCTACAATGTTAAAGTGATATGGAAAGAATGATGTTGTGATCCAAAAACATGTACAAATGCACTTGTTTAGTACTGCAAAGTACATTTGGTGCAGAAGCTTTATATTCCTTTATCATAGTGAATTTGAGATCTTATAATTGTAAGAAGCAGTGAGATGGGAATTGGAGATAACTACCTTCCCTGGTTAAGGCAAACAATGCTGTATGTGTGCTTCTGCCCCAAAGCAGTCATTTTGTTTCACAGTTTAAAATCATTCTTTGATGCACGTAGAGATGCAAACTATCAGATGAAGGTGAATTTTGGAGTTTGTATGCTTACATTAGACTGAGTTGAATTGTTTTTCTTTAACGGTGGTAATAAACTGATATTTCAAATTGAGAAATCTTTATTTTTTGCGTAAAATTGGGGTGATTAATTTTAAATGTGCATGAATTTGTAATAGCGTAACCCTTGCACCTATACAAGGACACAAGCTTTGTACTGTATTTCATTTTCATGGTTCTGGCTTGCTTTTTTTTAAACTCAAGTCATTTTTTATTTTCGTCTTTTTGGCTGCAGCTGCTCAGTTTCCATCATCAGTACAGTACTGGGTGCCACGCCCTCTCAGAGCATCCCGTCGATTTGCAGATAGATTTTATGCCTTTGTGACACATCTACGTTCAGCAGATTAAAGTGTTCCACTTTTAATGATTGGCTACGTGCTCAGATCAAGGTGTCTCATTGTGTAAAAAGGATGCATCTCTGAACATTAGAATTGTCGAAGTAATGTTCGAATTCTCTTGTTACATTTTGCCATTGAAAGCCCACTCTCTCTTCCCTCCCCCCTCCCACCAACAAAAATTTATGTGGATTAATAATGGATGTGGTGGGTGGGGGGCCGGGGGGGCGTGGTTCCTTGCAGCAAACGTGCCAGATGTATCACTTAGAATAAAATTAATTTGCCTTTTAATATTGCTGGAAGACCACAATTAAAATTCCTCCTCTGGCTTCCCAGAGGAATAGTGACTCAGTAGCTTTAGCTGGGTTGCCAGGGTAGAGAGTAAAAAGTGTGTCCACAAAGGGTTTCCTTCCTGCACTGCTCAGCAGTAGGTCTCCTGGTAGGTTGACTAAGGAGCAACAACTTGCATTTATATTGCGGGCATCACATGGAATAGCGTCCCGGAGCGCTTCATCATGTTAGTTTTTGGAGATGTCCATCAGGTTATAAACCATAAGTTTATTCTCTCCTGGGGAGATTGCCAGATCAACACTGTGTGGTATACTGTCCATACCAGTGACAGGAATGGAACAAAGAAGGGAGTGGGTAAAATAGATACTGCACTAAAAAAATTAAATACGCAAGACTGATTCTATTGGTAATTGTAGAGATAATAACACCTTGGCCATTAATAAACTGTTTTGTGCACTTGTATTTGATTCCTTTGAACAGGCGATGGTGACCAGTGTATGAAAAGTTAAAACTTTAAACCAAATAAATGCTTACAATTAAATGGAATGGCATCTATGTAAAATGCATTCCAGCTCCTTACTTTGAGAAGTTAAACAGTAATAATTAGAGTCTACAGTATAAGAATTAAGATGGAAAATACTGTCTGTTATTGATAAACTTGTCAAAATCTGTTTTGACGACTGTTATATGTCACACGTTTCACAAATTCAGTATAAACTTCAGTAAAACTGTACAGTTATATTGATGGAGGAGTAGTGCAATAATCCCTCAATAGATCATTTATTTAATCAACTGACTAAGATGAAATGCCATTATTTTATGAAGAGCTCCCAAGGTATACATCTAGAAAGAATATAGATGTGACACAGCACATTCTGCTCTTAAGTAAGTGGTAAGTGTTTGTCTGAGTCAGTTGGTAGAACTCTGGGTTTGCCTCTGGTTTAGAGGGTTGGAGGTTGAAGTCCTGGGTTGGAACTCGCAGTCCAGGCTGACACTCCAGGTCAGTGTAGTGGGAGCACTGCATTGTAAGAGGTGCCGCCCTTCTGATGAGGATGTTAACCGATCTTCGAGTTCAAGTGGATGTTAAACAACCCATGACACTATTCAAAAGAGAAGGGCATTTGTCTTGGTATCCTGTCCAACAATCCTGTAACTAAATTGGCCACTCCTCTCCTAGCTGT